TTAAAGGGATTAGGTCAACCCTGGCATGGTTTCTCAAGCACTTTCTAATGGTGCTGCATTTGGTGATTGTCTTCCCAAGCCAACATTATCATGAAGTCACCTCTCTGATCAATCAACCCTGTTCAGATTTAGTCCTGTTTCTCATTGATGGAACACTGACATTGTAACTACTTGGGCATGTTCCCACAATATATAAACAATCATAAAGATTGGTCAACCAAAGTAATTCTAGAAGATAACATTCTTAAAGCAAGCAGATTTTTCTAATTATGGTGCTTAATATCAAGAAATAGAGTATTAATAGCAATAAATTCATATGAGCGCTTCGCTATGGTACCTAAACCTCTTTAATTTAAGTGCAGTGCTGGACTGGCATCAAGATCTCATCAATTTACAGTTGAGCTGGCTAGATGTAGCCATAATTTCTATTCAAACAGTTTCTTTTCTTGTATTTCTCACTTGTGGAACTCCCTTCCAGCTCCATACTTTCCAGCCAACTTTAATTGGCAAAAATTTAAATGCAATGTCAATTGCTATCTACTGTCCTCCTGATTACTCTTTTCTCTTCCCGCTCATTATTAATATGTCTATTACTAATTCTTCCACACCCTTTAACCCCTTGTGTCTTAGTGGCTTTACTGCCTTGCATGAGGTGATACCAATTAAGAAAAAAAAAATTTGTTCATTTACTTTACCTTTCAGTAATTAATACCAGAATAACTGCCAATAAGAATCCACATCAATATGTCTCCAATTATATTTGTGTGTATGTATATCACAGAGATTACAGATATACTTTTCTCTAGTTCTAGACAGAAGTGCCAGTAAGCAATTTTTTTTACCTTAGGCAGAGTGCGCAGGTGTAGAACTGTTGAACCATATATGAATAATTCCTTCATTTTTGACAGGTACAATTCCTACTGGTGACATCTTGCTATCAAACAAAATGCATGTTAGTTCTTTGTTGCTCTTCTGTTAGATACTATTGATTTTTCATGATGTCCCATGTTGGACATCATGATATTTTGTGATGTCCCATGATGGACCTAATGATATTTTGTGATGTCCCATGATGGATGTCATATCTTTAAAATATCTTTATCCAATTGCAGGCTTTACTTGATAATATGAAGAAGCAGAAAGAAATTTTGGAGAGAATTCAAGATCTTGGAGAGAAAGCTAGTCAAAAAAGCAACGACCCAAGAATTTCTCACAGACTGTTGAAGCTCTCTTCACAGTACCATGGTTTGAGCACAAATCACAAGGTATTTTAGTTTCCCTCTCTAAAAAAACAAAGATCCTTCATTTCTGTGTGAGCATTATGAAATTCATTGATATGTTTGTGTATGTATCTACAGGAATTTTTTACATGTCAATTCATCCCTCATAAACATTTCTAGATGTACAATTTTACACTTGTAAAATATGAATGACTAATGCAGCTGTTAACAGTTATCAGTAAAGAAAATGAACACCAATGAGCCAAGTTCAAATTCTGGCAAAGTCTTTATACTAATACCCTTGGAAAGGTTTGAGGCTATATATTTTTCCTTATAGTTATGGGTAAAATAGAAGGAGAAGGGCAAACTGACCTCTCACTTTGGTTGGCAACTACTTCACAAGAAATGACAACTCTGAATTAAAATCACTTGAGAATGGGGTGTTAAACAACACTCTATAAAACCTACTTGCTGCTGAAACTGCACCATCAATACAAAGTGGTGATCCATTATTCAATAGAAGTTTATAGGTTTCAACAATATATATATATAATTTGTATTTGTTTTTTGTATGAATAATTCATGAATTTGTAAATTAATTGCACCTTTATTGAAATTAAAATAACTGATCCAAATGCAACTTTTGGATAATAAGTGCGACATTACTGTAATTATTGAACAATTTGCCACTTTGACAGAAAATTTACCAGTAAAAAAGAATTCGCTTATCACCATATTTGTATAAGAATGCACAATTGTAAAATTTAAATTCAAACTCAGCGTTGCGACAGCACGCTCCAAAAACAATAACTCATTTCTAATAGCATTTTTCGGATTACAACAGTACATATATTTTCGTTATCCTCTTATTACTGAGAGAAAAAACAAGAACAAAATCTATTCCATACTTGAGGATGGCTGTATGAACAGACAAAAGCTTGTAAAAATAATAACTCATGCAACAGAAATTTATAGAAACAAGGATCTTTTCATTCATAAACAGGTTCGGGGTTTTGTATATTATTTGAATTGTTCACGACGATTTTTCTCGCCAATTAAATCATTAACCTTTGTATTTGTTTTTTTGTATGAATAATTCATGAATATATATATATATATATATATATATATATATATATATATAAAATCTTATTACTATAAATAACAGGGATATCAATTCAAATACAATTACTCACTAAAAATAATGTGCACATAAGAGAATGTGACAAACTGAACTGAAATTTGAACTCAGCTCTGATTTCTCATTCTTAGCATTACATCACCATGATTCCATATTAAACTATATATGATATACACAAATTATATTTATATATAATATATATATATATATATATATACCTTTCTTTTTTCCAGGTTTTCATATATGATGTTTTGCCATCTTGACACCATTTGTCATAAGAATCACTGAAAAACCCTTTGAGTTATTCAGCTAGAAATAGAACGGGTTAAAATCAATTTGTGTCAGCCCTACTCTTTCCAAATGAGCAATGGTGAGAGGAAAAAAAACATTCAGTCCTTCAGTAATGGTACCAACATTTATACTCTGGCTTCCATCTCCAAATCCATTCAACAGCCATCCATAGAATGGTGAATAAGTTTAAAAAAAGAGGGAACGGTAAAAAGGAAAACTGGATCAGGAGGTCACAATAGGAAGAGGGATCATCATTTCAACTTAGAACTAAAGAGATCAATTAGAAATGATCCAACTCGATCCATAAGATGTTTGGCATGTGAGAAAGGAGTTTCAGCTATGATAGTATAAAAAGCAGTGAAAAAAGGCATGAGAATGAAATCATATGTGAAACCTGTGAAGCACCTTGTTACTCCAGGACAGAAGGTTAGAGAGGGCGAAAATCTTAAATAAGTTGGAAAATGATCTTGTAATTATATATATATATATGTATGTATGAACTTAATTTCAATCCCTCATGAGCTTCCGATCCTTAGCTATAATTAATTAATGATGAACTTCATTTTCATTTATGATCGATTTCATCATGATTTTTCTATTAAGCTTAAAGAGTAATTGTACAAAGTAGAATAGTGTTATAAAAACCTCGGAGAATTCCAGTAAGATATCTTTACTCATTTCTAAGATACAGTGGTTCAAAGCTTAATCTAACAAATGAACAATTTTGCTCTTACAGGATTTGGACAATTTTTTATTTTTATTTTTTTCAACCTTTTTTTCCACTTTCTTTCCATTATACTTAGTGTCCTGTCTTTCAATCGTCATGAGCCTGTTATTTTTTTAGTTTTGAAAGATAATTATGTAGCGTTCTTTGTGGATTTTTGAAATAAAGTGTTAAAGTGGTCATTTTAAAAGTATCACCCAAAGAGGGCGTCAAGTCGAAACCATGGTCACATATTTTAATTGACCTCCTGATTTTTAAAGTTAAAAGCTCTACATGTTATTATTTTTTTTTCTCATGTGTATTGAGCACTTAATACTATTGTTTCCGGGTCTAATTCAATTCTGACCATTAACCATTATGCACACACACACACACACACATATATATATATATATATATATATATATATATATTCTAAGAAATTTAACAAATGGAAATCTTTTCTTGAAAACTTTGTTGGGATTCTGTATCCTATTTTTTAAAAATATATATAGGGCTCATACAAATATCACTTAGATGATCGATGTTATATTCAGCATCTTGACTCCAGAGTTTTGTAGCTGGACTCCCCAGCAATCGACTGCCTATTTTCTCAGTTTCATTATTTTTAAATCCAGTTAAAAAGTAATTTCTTCTCATTTTATTGGTGTTAGGTTGATTTTCTTTGTTTTCTTTCTTTTTTCTTTCTTTCTTTCTTTCTTTCTTTTTTCTTTCTTTCTTTCTTTTTTTCTTTCTTTCTTTTTTTCTTTCTTTCTTTTTCTTTCTCTTTCTTTTTCTTTCTCTTTCTTTTTCTTTCTCTTTCTTTCTTTCTTTCTTTTTCTTTCTTTCTTTCTTTCTTTCTTTCTTTCTTTCTTTCTTTCTTTCTTTCTCTTTCTTTCTTTCTTTCTTTCTCTTTCTTTCTTTCTTTCTCTTTCTTTCTTTTCTCTCTTTCTTTCTTTCTTTTTCTTTCTTTCTTTCTCTTTCTTTCTTTCTCTTTCTTTCTTTCTCTTTCTTTCTTTCTCTTTCTTTCTTTCTCTCTCTTTCTTTCTCTCTCTTTTTTCTTTCTCTCTCTCTTTTTTCTTTCTCTCTCTTTCTCTCTCTCTTTCTTTCTCTTTCTCTCTCTCTCTCTCTCTCTTTCTTTCTCTCTCTTTCTTTCTCTCTCTTTCTTTCTCTCTCTTTCTTTCTCTCTCTTTCTTTCTCTCTCTTTCTTTCTCTCTCTTTCTTTCTCTCTCTCTTTCTTTCTCTCTCTTTCTTTCTCTCTCTTTCTCTCTCTTTCTCTTTCTCTTTTTTTTTCTTTCTTCTATCTTATTTCATTGTGTGTATGTGTACCTTCATAGTTTTAATGTTTACTTATGACTAGATTTATAAATGTTGAGATCTAAAAAATATTTTTCTCATGAGTTTAAGATCTGTTTTACAGAAAAATATATATATATATATATATATATATATATATATATATATATGCATTAATGATCAGCATGATGATACTTTAGGGTTTGTATACTTTTATTGAACATTTTCTTTTATAATTTTTCTTTTCACCTCTATCATGTGTTTATTTTTTTCCTCCAAGAATATCATTATGAAATTGAAAGAAAATGTTCAAGAACATGAAATGTTTGATGCAAACTACAACACAGTTATGGACTGGATTGGCCATTGTGAAAAGGATCTCTCTGCTCTTTCTGCTTCAACCGATGGTCTCTCCATTCAAGAAAAACTCAGGACTCTTAATGTAAGTTCGTCTTTGTCAAAACTTACATTTTCATTCCAGCTCAGCCAAGTTTCTGATGTTTACCTTATATCTCATCGTTACTTTTTTTTAATCGTTGTGTAGCCAAGTGGTTACAACATTTGCTTTCTAAATATAAATACTGAGTTCAAATCTCACCAAGGTTAAAGTTATCAGGGAAGTGACTTCTTGATTTTATTAGCCTGTGCAGGTGATCCCAGCATGCAGCATCAATGGAAAGTGTTTGAAAAACCATATGACAGATTGACCCAAACCTTGTGTGTGAAATTGGGTAGACAGGAGTATTCAGAAGCCATCAATGGTTGTGCTAGCACAAAATCACAAGACATTGTGACTGAGGGTTTAAGTGTACTGCTCTTTTCAAACTGTTGATCATACCAGATAATGTGCTTGTTCCTAGAAACTGTAACTAGGGTCTACTCAGAATAGTTGCAGTATAACCCAAAGATGGAGGTGAAAAAAACACGTGTCTAAGAAGTTGTCTGTAAATAAGGACCGGCTGCCACCGTAATAAACAGGTGTGCTTGAAAATGAGTATCTGGCCATTTTTTGTTTTTAAGAATTTTCCTACTTATGAATAAAATCTATTTAGCTGCTCACATTAATGAGTCTGACCATAATTTTGATTTGAAAAAAATACTACTTTAATTAAAATAGAAAACAATTTACTAAGACAAAAATGTATAGAAAGTGCTTTAATCACTAGATAATCTAGTAAATTTATGTCCAGGTTCTTACAGCAGATTTATTATGACAATGCGGCATATTTTATGACAAAAGTGCTAAAAACATAAACAAAAAGAAAATAAATAAAATTGGGTAGACTATACACCCTAAAAAAACATATTTTAAAAAAGTTTAAATTTTCAATATCCCCTATCCTTAATGCGCATCAACATAAGCACCACTTTAGTCTGAAGTCATAAAGAATGAAACACTCGCACAAAAAATGTTTCCACTTTGTCATAAATTTTCCTTATATATATATATATATATATATATATATATATAGTTTTAAGGTATGCTATATTTATGGATTAAAGTTCTCAGTATCAGGGATAGTGTAAGTATAAAAGTGGACATTAAAGTCAACACCTAGAAATGACAGTCTATATCATGCTAAATGCAATCATCAGGCAATCAATGGCCTGATGATTGTGTTTAGCATGAAACAGACTGTTGCCTCTGGGTGTTAACTTAAATATCCACTAAATAAATATATATATATATATATATATATATATATATATATATATATATATTACTGGTTTGTAGGCAAAAAAAATATGTGTTCATTTTTTGGGGCTTCTATTCCTTTTATCAGCCAATGAATTTACATTGATTTAATTTTGAAGTTCAAATGTCACATATTACAATAAAGACTAGTAATTGACTATAATTCAGAATTCTTGGAAACAGACTATTATAAAGTAATTCAAAATTCTAAGAGAAGAGGAAATGTAAAATCTATACAATTCTGTGTTGCACTAGACTTTCCATTTTCAGTAACAAAATTAAATTGCCAAAAATAAGAATAATGGGCATGAATAATTTTTAAAGCTTGAAAAATGTTATTTGCCTATTCTAAAACACAGCATTTTGTTAGCGAAAACTACAAAAATGTTTCAGCCATTCTTTTTATTCCAACCAAATCATCTATTTGAAACTCACCTGTAGGCTGCCAAAATTTTTCAGTGTATATTAGTTACATGATGAACTTTAGAAAAAAACCTTAGCATTTCTCTGTAATTGTTGTTGACTTGAAAGTCTTTTTAATACTTTTGCGTTTCACCATTCCTTCCTCCAGCACTAAAATTTAGCATTAAAATTAGGATTTCAATTCTTGAAAAACTTTCGTATAAACATTAAAGTGAGGTTTTAATCTATTTTGCAGCAGTTCATAACTGGTAAATGATTATAAAGCTTGAAAGTTTTTCTTACTTTTTTTTTCTTTGTGATGAGAACTTGATCCACATATTTTCACTGGACACACGTCTTTCAAGCAGGGACTTCACCATTCTTGTTACAGACAAACAGTTAAGTGCATTACATATTGTTATACTTCTTTGTAAATAATTGATTTCTTTCTTATTAATAGGTTATTGTAAATGGTATGGATGAAACTGTGTACAAAGTCAACAAAGTGAGTGAGTATGCAGAAAAAATCCAACCTGCCACTTCACCGTCTGGATACAAATTGGTTGAAGAGAACATTTTTGAAATGTCTTCAAGATGGAAGCAACTGAACCAATCTGTAACAGATTGTGCCTTCAGTCTGCAGAACAGCCAACAAAAATGGCAAGACTATGAAAGTACAAAGGAAGCTTTGGAAGCCTGGCTTTCTGAACTGGAAAATCTATTATCCATCAACCCTGAAGTTTATGGTCAACTGTCAGAGAAAAAAGCACAGCTGGATAAATACAAAGTAAGTATTAGGGTTACATGGTTTTAAATCATAAAAGTTGAAATAAATTTCAAAAGATGTATTTGTAGCTGAACATTATTTGATTTATAAATTTTAAAAAATAGTTTTAAAACTTTCACTCCTGCATTATAGCATTGTTGTCTGGCCTGATTTGGGAAATATAGCAAAGCAAATTTCTACTTACCGAAAATAAATGACCATAAAGATGCTGATGGCAATTTCTCATGGGCACCACAACATTGGTTTTGATTAGATATTCTGCAGTGCAGACTAAGCTTCCTCACCTAAATATAATAAAAATATGTCACAAAAAAGGTTTTATTGCATGCAACTATATGTCTACATTAGTTTGGAAATAGCACTAAGTGCTAGTTAGTTTATAGCACAAACATTAAAGACTGACATTTCACAGTGTCTGGATATATATATATATATATATATATATATGTGTGTGTGTGTGCACCAATAGCAGCTATTTTAAGTTTTGTAAAGATGTGAAAGTACATTTTGAGAATGTATATATACATCAACAGCAGACTATATAAGTTTTTTTAGACATGTAACAGCCAGTGTATGGACAGAAAATGGACTCAGCAGATATACAAAAAGAGAAAGTGGTATAAGACAAGGATGTCTTCTCAGCCGATTTATTCAAGTTAAACAGCAAGGCAATTCTGAGAGTACTAGAAGTCCTACCAGGATTCATTATTGGTGGCCACAATTTAAACAATATAAGATATGCAGATGACACAGTGCTGATAGCAGACACAGAAAGGAAACTACAAAACCTCCGACAGAAGGTAGCAAAGGAAAGCAAGAAGAAAGGACTAAGCATAAACTACAAGAAGACAGAATGCATAAAAAAGATGAGCCCAAAATACAAATTACAGGTAATGGATATTAAAATCAAGCAGGTACATAAATTTAAATATCTGGGAAGTGTTTTAACAGAGGACAGAAAGTGCAATTTTGTAGTTAAATCATACATTTTAGATGCATCAAGGGTGGTCTTTAGTGATGCACTGTTCTCATTGCTGATTTGGGGTTTTGCATCATATTGGCTCCAACAGCAACTCCAACCTGATTCTAGATGAGTCAGGCCGCCTACTTGAAAGCGTTGTGCTATGCACCGCGACATTGCAAAATCAGTAATCGTAATAAACTAGCAAGGCTGAACTTCGACTGTTCTTATTGACATATGTCAGTCAGTGTCAGCCAATGAAAACAGGGCTTTTCACGCAATACTGAGATCTGAAGATGTATTGAGATGGCCAAAGATGCATTCCAAAAACTAAGCAGAGTATTAAGAGACAGAAAAAATATGTTAGAAATATAGAAAAGAGTACTGAACTGTGATATCTGTCCTTTTGTATGGCAGTGAATGCTGGACAATCTCCTCAACAATGAAAGAGACTTGAAGCAACAGAAATGTGGTTCTGCAGAAAGATGCTGAGGATGCCATAGACAGAACCTGTGAACGACGGCAAGAAAATGGAAATAAAGAGACTTATACTTAACATCAGGAAGAGGCAGTTGAAATTTCTGGGGCACATAATGAGGAAGGAGGGCTTGGGAAATCTGATCCTCACAGGACATAGAAGGAAAGAGGAACAGAAGAAAGCTGTGTATAACTAACTTGATGGGCTTGAACAAATGGATGGCAGAACAGGGTATGGGAGGAAATAACAAAAAGACAAAGCTTATTAAGAGCTACAAGGGACAGGAGAGTGTGGAGTGCCATGATTGCCTATGTCCTGAAGGGACATGGCACATAAAAGATGATGTCATCTACAACAGATTTTATAAGTTTTTAAAGACACATATGTCTACAGTAGCAGAAGTTTTAAATTTAAATTTGGGGAATATAACAAGCTTCTCACTAATAACTTATTAGAAATGCTAACAATATATGTACCAAGAACATGTTTCCAAAATGGGTTTTGATGTATATCAACAGGAAAAATGTATGGTGCTATGGGGTCTTTATTGTCTCACATGATAGCTGATGCATGAAATAGTTTGAGATAATAGTTCTAAAAAAATGACAACATTGAAATCAACCTGAGGAAAGTTTAAGTGTACATAAAAAAAAAAAAAAAAGAGCAATGAAAAACAAGGGAAATAGTAAGAAAAAAGAAATGAATGCAATACAATTATATACATCATTGTTTTTGTGAAGGATTGATGTTATTTTATTATTTGGATTAGTGTCTTTGCTGAATAAAAATTTTAGTTATTCTGAGTCTAATTATAAAATGTACCCCCAAATCCCTAGTTAAAATTCACTTTCTTGTTACAGGTATTTCTCAGTGATATCAACTCTCGAGAGAAACCAGTTAAAGACCTTGGTCGGAGTCTGTCTCAACTTGACATTGTCAGTGCTGACAATGGCATGGCAGAAGGTTCCTACAATGAAATAAAGTCACGTTATGAAATCATAAAGACAAGGTGCCAGGTAAGTCTT